GGTAGACAAACGAAAGGAAAAACGAGAACTTTACATACTTGCATACCATAGAGACAATATTATTGTGCGCGACTGTAGCGTTTATAATCAAAGTAGGACGAGAAAAAAACATCATGTAGACGTGTAGAATTGAGAAGAACAAATACAAAGTAGCAGAATAACAGAATTAGGGATTCATTCTTCAAATAGATTCTCAGATTAACAACATGGTTTTGATCGAAACAGAAAAGTATTGTTTGATCGTTTGCACCATTATATTTTATCCTACACTTATTTCTCAATGTTTCTGATATAATGGCATTTTAACTCTTTTTTGGAGTATATTATTATACGACAGTCTATACGATTACTTTATGATTTTATTATTTTTATGAGGAAGAACTTTTTATAGTATTTTATAAATCTTAGCCTAAAATAGGCCTTAAATTTCGTGCAAATTGGCAGCTTTTTATTATTACATTTATTAATGATATTATTGCATTCATTACAATTTTATTTAGTAATTTTAATTGTTGTTGATTTATATCTATTTATCTATTTTAATTGTATTCTTTGTAAAGAGCAGCTGTGCTATTTGATATTGATTAATGCATAATAATTGTTTTTAGTAATATTGGTTTTAAATATTTGACACAGCTATTGACGAATGAAATATAACATAAGTTGGCTGTATATTATTTATGAATATACATGCTAATCGTTACATTTCTTGAATTTTTTAATTCTTGAATTCCTCTTTGCACAATTTAATACTATTAGTGAAATTTTGCAAGTTACAAGTTACAGGTTACCAACGCTAATAAATTCTCTTGCATAACAGTAACGTTGACATAAGTTTTGTTATGAGATAAATCAAGTTGAACTGCTTATGTGAAACCGTGAAATCATAAAAACTGTTTGTGTGTTTTTATAACTTGTCACTTTTCATTTCACTAATATTATTTTAATTTACTCAATAATATTATTAATTAGTAATTTAACTAATATTATTAATTAGTAAATTATTGTGCCAGAGGATTTGTTGTAATACGTTTAATTATAGCTTTTGGGACATACGTACACACACATATATATATTTTTTTTCATTTCGTTCTGTCAAAGCAGAATGCAAAATAAATGAAAACGAAAAATATACAAAATGGTATAACGCTGATTTGCGGTGTATGCAAACGAAATCTTCATTTTCGTAGAAGAGAAAATGTATTTTATGGGCATCTAATGTCTCTGCGAGGTTTGCCAGCGCCGATTAAATCGAAAATTTTAATGAACCATCGAAGTGCGCGCGAGCGTGTATGTGTGCATGTATTTTCGTAGGGATACAAGCATAATGTGCTTGATACATTATGCAGGATATCCAAATTATTTACATTTGTGCAATTTTACAATTTGTTTTTTTTTTTTTTT